TCTCTCAGCCCCCCCCCCCCCCCCCCCCCCCCCCCCCCCCCACCCCAGCTGTTATAGTGTGATATAGAATACACTACAGATTGTTAACACACTTACTGCCATTTATGGACAAAAGCTGGAAATCTAAACTTTCTAATAAGCAAATATTTTTATAAAAATTTTTTTTAAAAAACATTATGTAATATTCATTAAAAAAAAAAAAGCCTGGCTATGAATATATCAAGTGAGATAATCAAATACATCAAGTAACATTGGGCCTGATTGTCCTCTTCTGAGACACCTTTCCATTCCTCCCATAGATTTTCAACAATGATATATTTTTCCAATGCTGCAATGGTTCAGGTCAATGCAATGATGCTTACAAAAATGTCTTAAAACAGCCTGAGTAAAATTATGGAAAATCCAGGTGCAACTTGCTTTGGGGGAAATATGGTATGACCACAGACAGGTCGGCCGTTTGACTTGAACATTTCAATATAATACAGTTAACATACATATAATTGTACCATGAGGTCAATTACAAACAAAACACATGAAGCATATTAATTATTTGCTATTACAAGAAAAATTAGTAAAGCCATGGAACTTCTAAAAACCCATGAGAGGTACACCAGAAAGTCAAAGCTCTTCCCTCCAATCTCCCCTTGTTTCTAAAATAGGTTGAAATGTTCCTTTGTTTTCCATTCATGCTTATTGGAAATAATGGTTCTTTTTTGTGTCAGCAGGCATGAACAGTAAGGATGAATGAATATCATGAATTGCATATCCAAATGTTCAAAGAAGCAGAATTTGGTTAACATTGCAAGATTCTTTGGCAGAATTGAAAGTTGACTCTCAGTCAAGACAAGGAAGAGCAGTAATGAATTAGACTAAGCCAGCTGGATAGGAATGTGCTTTAAACTAAAGCAAACTAAAGCAAATAAAATGTAGCAAATCAGTCGACAATTATGAATGCAATAGCTACATCACGATGACCTTGATTCCTTCTTAGAGAGGATGGTCATGAGGAAATGATTTAATGGAAATTTAGTTTTTACCATTGCTCTCAGAAAATGAGTGATGCAATGATCTGAAATCAGAGAATGAATATATTATCTACCCATGTTATATTAACTGTATTAAGAATCCCTATAATATACTACTACTATATAAGACCAAAAACACAAAAAACAATTTATGCTTTTGCAATTCTTAGAGCATTTTTCTAACTTGCTCATTCAACAGCTGATGAATGGCAATTTGTCTAGACTTTAATATGCTCACAACCTGCAATGAAACATAGCCTAGACAATCCATTAAGTTCCATATCTAGTGGTACATAAAGGGTGTTCATATTTAAACGCAACATAGGGAATATTTAGCTTCCTAGAGGTGGAGGTCGGTGAAAGCTATAAGCCTATAATTGGGTTGCCAATCTGCAAGGAAACACACCAGGGCAGTGATAGGTTTCATCCTTCCAGATATGCAACCCGATGAGTTATAGGGCCCACAATGAACTCCACTAACAAGTGGCTAAAATGTCCCTATGTTGCATTTAAATATGAACACCCTGTATATATCGGCATCTATAAAGATTTTTTATCTGCGATGAAAATGAAAGATTCTTCATTACAGACCATGGATGTCATCAAGTTCCACTGAAGGTTTTTTGGGTTTCTCTATGCTCCAACTCCCCCGTGCCCCTCCTTTTCCAGCCAGAATGGATAGATGAGATACTGTGGGATTACGGCTTGGCATTTGAGATTCACCCTTGGCAGCAGAGCTGGCTACCTCTGTCTCTTTCCGCAGTCTTGTCACCATATTGCATGCCAGATTCAAATAAACTGTCTTGTTGCTGCTTCGTACATACACTCCTGCTTCTTCTTCCAGTGCCTGTAGCAATCCTGAAATTCCTTTACTTCTTCTTACAGAGAAGAAATGCACTAAAGAGGATGATACATACACGATCAAAAGCTTCCTGTTCTGATTCCACTGTCTTCAAGAGTTCATCAATGAATGTATTGAGATATCTCTGACGAACACTGGCAGGAACTTTGCTCCCATATTCCACTGGTATCACAGGACGGGAAAGTGTCATCTGTTCAGCATTTATATAGCATTAGTCAGTATCAATTCAAAAGAAGGTGAAGTTAACAAGGACACACTGCAAACTTGCTTGCTTGGGAACATGAGCAACTCGTTTCTCTCCTTTCCCTATAGTTCGTCCTGATGCACTGGCACCTGACGAAGTGGAAGGCTGAGATTCAGAAGGATTACCAGCTGAGAAATTGGTTGGCTGCTTCATCAACTGCAGCCGACGGTTGAGCAGTTCATGTTTGGCATTCATGAGGGAATATACATTAGGAACATGAGCAATACGTTTTTTCCCACCTGGAATAAGGATCACAGCCATGCAATTCAGGTCTGCAAGATCAATAAAGACTTTCTATTGGATAAACACAAAATACATGACTAACCAGGAGGAGGAGGGGCTGTTGTCTGAAGTTTCCTCAGCCTCTCCAGCATTGCCTTGGGCAAAACAATGAAAAAAAAAGCACATTTTGAGATCACTGGTTTGCTGCAAAAATGCAAGACACTGAGTTTGTGATCATACTTGGCCAGGTGAAAGATGACTTGGTTTTGGAGGTAGCACTGGTTTGTTCTTTACCAGTAAGTTGCCAGTCCCTGTCACCTGATGAGATATTCGCTTTTTTCCTGTTATAACTGGAAGTCCAGTCAGACCAAGAGGCTAAATACAGAACAGTATTAAATTCTTTATACATACTGGTGTAAACTCTCAAGGAATTTTCAGATAGAAATTCAATGCTGGACTGACCTCTGGCTTCCTCTCCTCTACTTCATCAGAGAGGGGCTCTTCAAAGTCATCCATATCCACATCCCCAAACATTTCTTCAAGATCATCATCATTGAAATTTGGCTTCTTGCTTTCATTCTCTATTGAACATGAACCCATGAGCTCAATACTTTTTAAATTGTAACTGGCACAAAGACCTCACAGACTACTAACTCACAACTTACTAATAACAGACACTTCACTGACTCATGTTTGACTCAATAAAAAGCAGCCTGCAAATACAAAATATTTACATAAGATTTATCAATATAATAAAAAAAGGAAGCCTTCTAACCTGTTAAAGTTGATGCAACATCATCCTTCTTGTATTGGACCTTCAGCTCTGATCCCTTTTCTAATGTTGTCCTTTTCCCCACATCATGACAGAGTCCATTCACTGTCTTGCTTTCCTCCCCTTCCCTGGATATCTTTACCCTGTCTGACCGGTGATGCTTTTCTGACTTGTGCTTCTCACTTTTCCCACTCTCAGACTTGATCTTCTCCCTGTGCTCCATGGAATGCTTATGCCTCTTCCTCTTGCTATGTGAATCTTGCTCTTGACTGCTGGATCTCTTACGCTTGTGACACAATGAATGTCTGCTCTCCTCCTTTGTTTTCTCCGTTTCTTTACCATCACTTGTGCTCGATACATCATTGTCAGATTTTGTAGTTGAAGTCACCTTTGATCCTGAATGATGACTTCTCCTTTCCTGATCTTTCTTTTTCTTTTTCTTCTTATGCTTTCTGTGTGAGTCAGATTTCCTGTCATTCTTTGTTAAAACTTGCTCATCTTTCATAGATGGTATTACTTCATGAAGTGCACTGTGGGAACACAATTCCAGTTCACTGATCAAGGCTTCATCAAGTTCATCAGAAGATTCCCCATCAGTATGTTTCTGCTTCTGGTTCGCAGTGATTGCAGTTGGTTGGTATGTCACAGCAGCATCAGTGGCTCCAGGAGGATGATATTCTTCCTCGCACTTCATAGTTGGGTCAGGTAATGTGCAGTTACGTTTCTTGGCCAGGAGCTCTTTTCGGCGCTTCTTCTTGCAGAGCTTAGCTTCAATGCTCTGGCTGCTTTCTGCAATGATCTGCTCAACCAGATCAAAGTCATTGAGATCCTCAAGTTTACCAGGGGCTTTTGGCTGATAGACCTGATCATTTCCTTCATAGACTGGCTTATTGGCAAGAGAATCTCTGCTGCTTGGCACATATTCCACACCAGATACTAATGTCCCAGGTGGCACATACTCTTCCGATCGTTGGGTGAGCTTGGCACGACATGTGGGGTGATACTGAGTGCCTGTTGCTGTATTTTTGTTTGACCCTGGCTCATATGAAGGTTCTTGAGATGCTTTGGCACTTGGGAGGTAGGTGGCTGATGTTTCATTTTGGCTCACACTGTTGGGGCAATATGATGGCTCATGTGTTGCAGTCCCAGCAGATCCAGGCATATAACTTGGGGCATCAGGTTGGAACGATCCAAGAGGAACGTATTCATCATCCTTAGACTTGGGGATCTCATCTTCACTGTTGGAATCAGGCACAACAGCACAGACTGAGAGTCCTTGCACTTCACGTCGCTTCTGGAGTTCTGCAATGGGAGTGGGTCTATAGACTAGAGCACTGGCCCGTGATTTAGCCACAGCCTTGGATGCAGCTTTGGATATAAGGTGTTTTGTATTAATGTCTTTCCCATCAAGAAGCTTCTTCTCCAGAAGCACTTTCTTAACTGCCTCTGACACCAAAGCCTGGATGTCAGGACTGGAAGGCTGAGGTGATGCTTTGGCCAAGGGGTCTGGTGACTTTTCCTGCTTCTTTTCTGTAGGATCAAACAGCAGACATCCAATGAAACTTTTAAAGAAGTTCTAGTCTACAGTTTCCAACAACTCAATGAGGTATTTACAAAATCAAAGTGTCTTTACTTCCACAATCAGTGCCTTTCCTCACATCCAATGGTGCTAGCCAAAAAAAAATGACAGGATTAAGAAATGAAATCAAGAATGGCTGAAAAATGAAAAAATATATATTTTTTAAAGCTTCCACAATGGAAAAGCATGTGGGTAGGCATAAAGACTTTTCAGTATGCAACCAACACATCATTATATATCACATAAAAAAATGTCACCAAGACAAAATGGGAGATATACAAGGAATGTGCATTAACTATCAGTATTAATGAATTCTTTTTTTGTGATAAATGGAGATAAATTAATATCTCCACATTCTTCGAAACTACTCTCTGCAAAATCCATGTAATTGCATCCTCATCATTCACTTTTTAAACATTCACAATACTCAGACTCAGGCAGTACTCTGAACTCTGAATTGACACTTCAAAACAAGTCCTGCGAGAAAATTTCCTTTTGGTAGGACATGATTTGAGAACTGTACATAACCATACAGTGAATATGCCTTGTAACAGCATAACTTATCTGTCGCAATACAATGCTGTCAAATCATGGCTTGCTAGAAACGCCCATTATCATGAGCAGGTTTTCATAATAGGCTACTGAGGATACCATGGTAGGTGAATGTTGGGAACAGTACCTTCATGAGTATGTAGCTTTGATACATCAGAAAATAAATAATGATGACCAAAGCTTGTTGACCATCTCCAATAGCAGCAATCCTACCTTCAAGTATACCATCTTTTCAGTGGCAACTAAAAACAGAGACTCATATTTCTGATATTTTTTTTTAAATATCAGAAATAAGTTTTTAAATATAGCATCGGAAGTTCACTTTATCAGCAGGATATTTTAAAAGTTGCGGGCAAAAAGTAATAATCTAATATGCTAAATTAGTTAATCATCTCAGGATCATAATCCAACATGTCCTCAGTTTGACTTCATGCTCCATGTTCTTAGCCATCCACTTTGACATGGAAAATGATTCACACAACATTTACATGATTTCATGATAATGATATTTCTTATAACATATAAGAAATACCAAGAGAGTTCTGGCTATTAATGCTGAGTGGTATAGCATACTCTCTACACTACTTGGCAGCTGACATTCATTTGCCTCATCTGTAGCATATGCATAGGCCTAATGACACTATCTAAAAAAAAAAGTGATATCTTATCCCATGGACATGAATAAAGGAGTTTTCCACTTTATTCAACTTGCACACTTGAGCCTACCTTGGACATGTCGAAAGTGGCAGTAGGGACGTTCACAAAGACCACTGTCAAAATAGGGACAGGTGATGATGCTGAAGTATCCTGATGTTGGAAACATGACACTTCTCAACCAGTTGCACTCATGATGACACTAATGCACCCCAAAGCCTTTACAATACACTCCACAGGATCACAACTTGGAAGGAATTTGTACAGACAAATACAACCCTAAACCATCATGGAAAATAAATTTTGGGTTTCCTGAAAAACAATATTCAGATGGTAGTACATTTCCAGTACAGGGCAACTGTAAAAAAAAAAAAAAAACTGTTGGGAAGGAAAAACAAAACCCAGAAGAGCAAGCTATCAATCAACATACTACATTATAAGATTGAGAGATAGGCTTCTTGGATTAAGGAGCAGAACTTTCCTACATAAAATTCCAGTTATATGATGTTTGCATTTAGAATTCTGCATCCAAATCCATTCTTTATCAGAACATTTAAGTTTGAAATCTTCCTTTCCCAATTCCCACAATTTACCTCTTCCTCAGCTCATTCCAAATTTAGAGTCATCTTCCCAAAGCAGCTAGGCGAGGCTTTTCCCGGGTGAAGCTGGGATGGGCACATAACTCCAGAGGTCACAAATAAGTGGCAATCTTTCTTCCTCAGAAACCTGAAATCAGCCAGTCTGACAAATGGGCGTCTCACAGATGCCAGCCACCCATTCCATGGGCTTATATTTTTTCTTTCATAGTATTATTCAAACAATTGCAATTGGTGGCTTCAACTACAAAGACCCATGGTTACGGTTGAAATCCCACTAAGATTTGACTAAAGGACACCTTTTATTACAAAAAACCACATTATGAAGATCTCTTGTGCACACATCCTGGTTTCCTCTGGTTCAATATTTGCTTTGAATGCTCTTCATCTCTCTCCTCATGCTTTGCATCAACCCTGGAAGGAGTGACGAAGTTGTGTGGAGGTCCCATTGACCTTTTCAAGGACCAGCGAGGCAGAAATTCCTCCCGCTCGCCCAACTTTCCCTTTCTTTAATCTCACACAGCCCTCCAACTGAATATTGTTTATTTCAGAAAAATACACAGCCAAGGTGCATAAGAATTGACCATACCTCTTCAATTGAAGGGCCATGATTATGACAACAAAATGAACTATTTCTATGGAAAATGATGTTGCAGCTGGACACAAACACAGACACAGAACTTTTGAAGAGAAAGTGGCACTTGACTCATACAAATGATTTTGGCTAATCCCAAGTCCAAAAACAAAACCCGAAAGGTCTCATCTGCAGAAGAAATAGACTCTCATACTTTTGCTGTACATTTGAACTCTTGAATAAGGAAAGGGGACTGCCATTTTAAATAAATCTGTCAATGATTTGTACATGGTGTGCACCAACAAAGCTGAAGAAAAGATCTTTCATAGTCACAAATACTGCAACATCTGATGCACACGCATGCACACACACGTGCGCGCCCAGTGACACAAGCACCCGAAATGTCTATGTACAGGAAGATGAAGATCACGACTGTAGTGCATTGCCAATGTGACATGAAGGGCAAATATAGTCCTCACTTGCTCTGACATCTTCAGGCTTTAGGTCCATGCAAAACATGTGGAACCATTGCTCACAACCTCCATCACACTGCACCCAATTGACATCACCTGTGATGCAATTGATTGAAAATAAATCAATCAAATTGATTCATATATTCTTCAACCATGAAAAGGGCAAAATAAGTATGTCATGGGACTCACCAGTAGGCTTGCGGCAACGCACAGCTGCACAATCCTCTTCCATTTCCTCATTATCTGAAATCCGTTTGGCCTCAGCTGTTGCCCTAGGCTTCACACCAACCTGCTTGGGCTAAAAAAACAAAACAAAAAGGAGCCTAATAACTAAACTGACATGACCAGAACACTGAGGACAATTATGAACCTGTCTTACTCTGGATTTACGGATCTTCTTATCTGTGGGAGATCCAGGAGATCCTACACTTCTTGGAGATGCCCCACCTTTTCCTTTCTTCTTGGCAAGTTCCTCTCCCAGTGTACTTTTGTCACTTGGACGCTTCTGTGGCATTGGTTTCTTCTGTGTGGCTCCAGCAGCTGCTTTAGCTTTCTGGTTCTCCTGCATCCGCTTCCTCTGTAGCAGCAACTCTCTTTCCAGCACCTGCAATGAGCAAAATATTGCTCAAAAGAATTCTAAAAAAAAAAGTATTTATTTTTATTGTCAGCCACAACAGACTTTTGGGGAGGGCATAGGTCGAACTTCATCTGGTGCCCGGACAATCTGTAACACGTTCCACAAGTGGGAAGTCTCATCCAAATACAGCTCCATGAGAAGACCCTCTAAAAGTAGCTTCTCCAGCTGGTTCTTCAGATTATCTCTAATGGTCGTCTCCCATGACCGGTCCATGGCATCCCTTGGAACCAGGGGGGATTTCCTGCCATGCTTCTTGCTGGTTGTAGGCATCCCACCTGGCTTTGATGCTGTTAAGTACACGAAGAACCATTTAATACCATCCACTTATTAGAATGACCATAAAATTATAGGAATTAAATGGGACATACCAAAGGAGTAGGCATGCTCTGAACTGCCAAAGCTCGACTGGGAGTTGTCTGTGACCTTGGACATCTGTGAAGGGTCATGGTCCATATCCTCTGGGCAAGTCTCATGACACATGAGATCATTGTCCACATTCTGCAAATAGCATATTCAGTCCTGGTCATCCACTAAGTCTTGACATGACAAACCATGCACTTCACATCCAGCATCATACAGTATATATAGAACATGAGGTACTCACATGATCTGCTGAAGGGCTTGGATGTCCTGGAGATGGTGAAGGGGATCTTGTCCGGTCTTCCCAACTGTAACATTCTGAGCGGGAGGCTGAAACTCCTGGGTTTCCTCCTCCCGATTTACCCAGGATACGAGAGAGATCTGGATTTGACAGTGCATGTCGTGCTCGATCCTGTTTGTCACACAAGACGTAATTTTAATTAAATTATGACCTTTCATGACCTTCAAAGAAAAAATAACTCCCACTGTACAATGTTTACTTAGGGTAAAACTACCAAAGTTCGACAGTTAAGCTGGCCGAGGCTTATTATTTGCTCGTTCTATCTCAACAGTACAAACTGGAAGCCTGTTTTTGTTCCTGGGAGCATGACACAAGGAGGTGTAAATGCCACAAAGGTGTTGTCCTTCCTAGCATTATGACTTCTGATATCGCCTATAATGTGATGTCCAAACTTAAATAGTCAACTTCATACACTTTCACCTTAGTTCAGACATCCGTTTTAAAGTCTCCATGAGGCTTGAAACACTTGATTGTGATGCAAAAGAAAGATAACCCACTCTTGAAGTATTGGACCTTTTCTCAATATTCTAGTATAGGAAGATTGTGATTGAGAGGACATCATACTTATGCAAATATGACACACATGGATGTATGTCCAAACATAAGTTTCTCAACATTTCCTAACCTAAGTTCAGACACATCAAAAGTAAGACAGTAATCTGATCAAGATGTGTGCATTCTGCTTAATGGGACTCCTAATGTCCTCCCAGTTTCCTGGTAAAAGTTGAGTGCAGAAAACAACATCAGGTATGAAACATTTTAAAAGTAAGGTTCTCTCCTTACAGTTTCTCGTAGGCCTCATGAATGTTTAGTTTTTTAACAATGCTTGTTCCAGTGTCTGAACTTAGGTGGTTTTACCCTATTTCCTTGTCTACAACAAAAATTCAGTGGGTTTGTCTTAAACCATTTTGGATACACAGGTCCTTTCCAAATAAATATTTTGAATACAACATTCTACAGGGTGGCCGAAAAGTCACCGTACCCCTATCTACATTTTCATATATTTCGTGAATAGAGATCTAAAAATACCCGTTGCACATCCCACATGACCGCTCAACACAGCGGTGCGTGGGCCTAGCGCGAAACGGTGCATGTGCGACCGACTAGGCGACTTCAGCGACAGCTCGGCAGAATTCAGCTGCCATCACCTAGTCCATCACCTGTCCGGTGGGCTGTCTTTCATGCACCCACACACTCGCCACTAAGCGCTCCTCAATGGTGTAGCTACTGCTGTTCGCCATTGTTACTGCCAAAACTGAATTCTGCTGAGCTGTCGCAGAAGTCGCCTAGCTGGTCGCACATGCACCGTTTCATGCCAGGCTCATGCACCGTTGTGTTGAGTGGTCATGTGGGATGTGCAACGGGTATTTTTAGATCTCTATTCATGAAATATATGAAAATATATGAAAAGGTAGATGGGGGTACAGTGACTTTTCGGCCACCCTGTACACACACTCTCAGCCACTTCTAGATTTTTAAAAGGAATTTAAATTGTATAAGATCAAAGATGTCCCAAGAGTTGCACAGTCTATCCAAAAGATTAAGCAGCAGCTTCAAAATTTTCAGAGATCCTTTTTGCACTTCTGGAATGGGATATGAATTTAATATATTTTGCAAATTTACCAAACTATCAAAGCTGGAAAACAAGCCATGACTGCTATGGGATACAGGTAAATGATACCTTCACACTTGTCAACCTCATCATACCTAGGAGAAACATTTTACACCCTGCCTTACCTGCCAATCCATAGCCTGTTCAGTGAGGCTCTGAAGTGCCTCAGCTTCAGGTAGGCGGACTGTGAGCTTCTGGAAGGCCACAAGGAGAGACAGGATGTTCTCCAGACGAGGTCGCTGAGATCGTTGACAAAGAGGACACATAAAGAGATCTTCCGGCATTCCTCCTCCTCCCCCCCCTACACTCCCATCTTCACCTCCCTTGTCTTTCTTTCCACTGGGTCTTGACAAGGGGATACATGTGGCTGCAGACAACAAGCATTGCAAGAAACTCACACATGTAGCTCTCCAGTAAAGTTCAGGGCAAAGTTCAAGCTTCTCACCATGAAAGGAATCCCTGCACAATTCACATTGAATCATGACTCCTTTTTCTGGTTTCTGACAAATGCAATAGAGTGTGTCTCGATCACTATCCATATGCTTGCGCATGTTTTCTGCTCGATATCGACGCATCTCTGATATCTCCTTCTGAGCTGCCTCCTGTTGAATGATGAACTTTAGGCAGAGAAACATGCTGGAATTACATTAGGTTTGAGATTTTGGCATGCCTTGTATGCAGCAATGAGATCCACTTCTGGGTTGTTTGGGCCTGCTTCAACTCCAAGGATGGCAGCCAATATGCTCATCCCACCTTCATCTTTGTAAGGACGCTTCTTCTTCAGATGGGCACGCTTGTCCTGTAAATTCTTGCGGGGACAAAGCACCTGTTTCAAAGATGCCTCCACTGAGTTCCACTGAAATTCATTATTGGCCATACTTGGTTTTAGATGGTTGGTTACCTCAATGAGAGAATAGAAGACATTCCGACGAAGAAAAACACTGGTAGCTCGATCCATCCAGGTTTTTGCAGATTGAAACTGCTGTTCAAGTCCAGGAAGTCGATCCTGGACAAAGGGGAGACCCCTTCCTCTCAAGACCAGGGATTCTAGTTCACTCAGGAATACACCTGGAGGCTCCTGAAAACACACCCTATGCTGTCAATCACCCTTTCAAATGCACAGATCCAGAAAATCTGAGAAACGAAATCACAGCAGGTGAAATGAGACTTACCCGAGTCTGCATCAATGTTAGCAAATGGAGACAATTTTTTCAGAAATGCCTAATTTAGGATATATGACAAAGGCTAAGGAAGAAATAAGTAAAGGACAGTACCTTGATGTGCTCAATCTTGGTAAGCCAGTCTTTTGTCTTCTTGTGCAGCTCTCTCAGGGCACTGATATATGGAAGAGAGCTGGGGATATCTTTGGCTTTCTCCAGAATCTCCTCCACCACCAAAAAGTCAGGACTAGGTCTAAGCAGAAAAAATTATTCATGAGATGAGCATAAAATTGCATCATTTTTATTAAATATAAAGAGGGTGACTGACTGGACATGTAGGGCTTTGCGAGCCTGCTCCTCAAATTCAAGAGCCTGCATTAAAAGCTCGCTCACACTAGCAACAGTCTTCTCAACAGCTGGATGAGGTGTCATGGTCTGACCTTTAGCCAACTCCTCCTTCAACACCTCTATGGAGTTTGGCTTCAATTCACTCATGAAGTCCTCCATCTTTTCAACCCAACAAATTGCTTCATGTACCTAAAGTAACAAATTAAATGCCTCCTGATGAATAAAGAAAACATGAGCGTGACTAATGTCAAAAAGGATCTAATGGATGCACCTTCTTCACTTCCAGAAATTCTGGCAATTCTATGTCCAGGGAATTCCCAGTTTCCATGCATGCCTCTAGATCAGCAGCAGAAGGCTTGGGATCTTTCAGGAGGGTCTGGGCCTGGTCACGGAAGGACTCAACAGCTGACAACAGGGACAATACAGCATCTCCATCAGGGATGCGGCACACCAGTGCATGTAGCTCATCACAGAACATTTGCAACTCTTCCACTGTCAAGGAACAGCGAGGTTCTCCACCTGTACACCCTCGGCCCCTATGAGCATAACAGTATAATCAAGTAAAAATGTACACATTCATTTTAAAAGAAACTCTTAGGATGAAAAATATTAACCACATCTTCACTTGTAATTTCTTTAAATTGAAAATCTTTGCAGTGGCACCCTGGAAATAAGCACTTACCTTGTGCGAACTCGAGTAGCAGCCAACTGCTGGGCAACAGATGCACATTTTTCAGCTTCCTCAACTGCCTGCTGCAATGTCTCAAGTAATTCACACTCTGGAAACTTCTTTGTCAATGCAGTTTCAGTCAGGCTTTTCAATTCTTTGAGCTCTGTACAGAAATAAGAAACACAAGAACAATTAGAAGCATGCCATATCATTGCACATTATAATATAAAAACCCAAGACCTCACCAATTCTATCTTCACCAGTGGCTTTCAAGGCTTGTTTGACACGGGTAAGCCAGCTCTGGAATACATCAGCCTTTTGCTTCAGGTTCTCAAGCATGGCTGCAAGCTCATTCAAAGTGTAGCGATACTGAAGTTTATGTGCTGCAGGGGGACATTTGCACAGACTTGTGTAGTGACGGAGACACACCAGCTTCTTGGTACAGGAGCATGTCACAGCAGACAAGAAAAGAGTTGTTTTGCATGCATCGCACTGTCGATTGTCATCAGCCAGCAATTCGAAGTACTCGAGTTCAGCTTTCACAACCCCCCAGTCCAGTAGAGACCTAACAAACATCAAATACCCATAAAATAACATTCAAATTAAATGGAACATGACTTTTCTGACAACATACCGCCGTAATTTCTTCTCGGAATCAACCATCTTGCAGACATCTTCATAGGCAGCAATAGCCATTTCTGTTCCAATGTTAGGCTCAATGGCCATTTTGCAAACAAGTTCATCATGTGAGAAGACACAATAGCGCCGGAGATCTGAATAGTGAAGGATGGATTCCCGGCCAAGACCCAACCAATCAGGAGGACAGAAGTTGACTGCCTCTGCAAAGTTGTAGCCCTGGTTGAAGCCAGCATGGTAAGAGCGTGGGAAGGTCACCACGAATTCCCCTGCCATTTGGTCTGCATGGTAGATTGGGACTCCTTTGTCCATAAGAATGTTAGGGTTCATGGTGGTCACAAGCTGATGCAGAAGATCCGGTTGAGACTCAAACAGTTCTGGAGCACAACTACGCATGGCAACCTCAAATACTTCTGCCTTCCCACCTGGGACTCCATACCAAGTCTTTGGTTCACCCCTGAAAGAGATGGAAAACATAGTCAATCAGAAGGGCTGTCAGAGTAGGCTGCATCTGATGTTGAGTGCTCCTAAGTGCAAGCAAACCAATGAAGGTAGTTGATGGAGTAGCTCCAGTGGTCTTCATTGTGCCAGCAGAAGGATGAGAAACACATCCCAACATACATCCATGGCACCATCATCCCCGAAATATCAGCATTTATGAAGCCCAGAACTGAGCCATCCAGAACTGGCAGGTTGTTCAAGTTCCATGGTGATGTTGCATACTCCTACAAAATACCAAGGAAATATAGAGCTAAATTCTATTAAAGAATTATGAAAACCTCATCCAGGAGCAACCCTTAGTTCAGGTTAAGTTGGCTGACATGTCAACCATGACCTACTCTTATTTCTAATTTGCAAATTAAATTACTTATGGCACAGGTGTCCTGTGACTGCAGCATAAAAAATTACAGTTAGACAAATTTAACAGGTACTTAAATCTATCCACTTCATTCATAAAAGAGACAGGCCAGAGCAAGTGAACATTATACAAATTGAATAAGCACATTTGCAATGATAATGTTATTTCCTTCTTTCAGCCTTCTTAGAAACAAATTGTACAGGCCTCCTTTTGTAACTTTTAGAAACTCCACATGACCTGGGTTTATCTTAAAAGAAAAGTTGTCATTAGAAAGTGGATATCAATGTAGACTTTTGGGTTTACTGATGTCAAAAAGAAGTGAGCTGGAGTTTTTGAGACAATATAGATAAGTAACCTATTTATTACTTGATTTTTCTAATTAGGTTGCAATGGGATGGTAGAAAGAAGAATTGATAACATTTCTGAGGATAAGGGTGACTCCATGTACAGTTTTGGTTATTCAGAATTGGCACCTTGTCAGGAAGTTGCAAATTCTTCGAGTTTTTGGTAGGAAAGCCAGATCCATGATCCATGGTGTGCAGATCAGCACCATACTCCACTGTGACATCTTCATCAATGCAGGATACCACTCTCCAGAACTCTTTCTCCACCACATCAGGAGGTACCATCTAAATAAGATGATATTTGTTTGCTTTGAACTGGGGCAGTCATAACTTCCTCACTGATAAGAAGTCAGAGTGCTGTAAACTCACATGAACAGGCATGGAGAAGTAGTCAGACTTGAACTGGTCAGCCATGGCTCCAAATGTGGCAAGGGTATATTCCTTTTGAGCCTGCTCAAAACCAAATGCTTCATTTGGCTTGCTCACCTCCCTAGCCACACACTTTGGGCACCTCCAATCGCCTTATAGAAATCATTCAAATATCCTCAAATAAGGCAAACGATACATCAGCATAGTAGTCACCAATATGGGATATAGAGAAACAGTACCAGGTGGTATCTCATGAAGAGGAGGAACAAGACAAAATGTATGATAGCTGTCATCACATCCATCACATAAGAGCATCTGCTCCTCATCATCCCCTCGTAGACAGGTGAAGCAAACATACTTGGCCAACTGAAAGGTTAAATTTAATTTTTTCTCAACCTCATTTCATACCCAAAATCAGTCTCTATACAATGGATAGAAACTCACAGGATCATTCTCAAGGGTATCAGACTTCTTCCCCTTGCCCTTACCTCCAGTGTCAACATTTCGTTTCCCACTAAAACCACTCATCTTAGGACCAGCTCCGTAAAACTTCAATCGTCTAAGCTCCTTGTTCCCAGTCATCTCCAGGACCTCCTGCGTCATAACAGATCATAACAGTACATGGCCCAGCAAAAACCTGAACCCCTAAATGGATAACTAGATGACAGAATCCCAAGTAGAATTTGAGCAGAAGCATACCTGTGTTTTCACCAAATCTTGTTCTTCTAGTTGAACACGTTTGGAGCGACGGCTGTATCTCTCAGCAGGAGGCTTCAATGCCTGCCGATCAGGTATCTCATGTGGGATGTAGTCCATGTTTTCTTCATAGGAATGCATTTCCTGAAATATGAGAATTGTTATCAGTCAACATATAGTGAAGCAATATAAGGAAACAAAATCTTTGTGACATGTCATTAGACTTACCATAGTACTGAGACTCTTGCCCTGCTTGAAGAGCTCATATGGATACAAAATACGTTCATAGCACGGTTTCAGAAGTGTATAGTAGTTCTTTCCCTGTGGAAAGTCCATACGAGCACCAATCTCAGCCCATTTGTGATCCTGGCACACTTTCTCAAAACCACCTGGAAAAGTGGATTTTACAAGCCATCAAGACCACTATTTTTCTATAATAAAAATAGAAGGAGGAAGTTTTTGAAAAGATGAACCTACCCTCTTCCTGCACCAACTTGTACAGAGTGTACAAGTCCAGTGCTCTTTTTTCCACAGTTGGCAACTTCAAGCATGAGCCCTGGAGTTCCCAAAATTTGGCAATTTGATCCAGGAAGTTCAGCTTGATCCTGGTACAAGCCTGAATCATGAAATAGAAGAATTACCAAACTTGATCCCTTGCTCTTCCATAGTGCATTCATATCAAATAACATCAGCAAAGATGGGCAGGCTTAACTATTTCTGCTACTCCAATACAAATACTGGGTTTGGCATCAAAATTGTGAATATAAATAGAAAAACTTTAACTCTTCTTAAGCAAAAACATCACCACTAACTTAAAATTTGCATGCTTCTAAACAGGTCCACAACATAAATAAAGGAATGCAGATGCATCCTTTTAAAATGCATCAAGTTTCAAAATCAATAGTAATCCAAAGATTTAAAGATCTCTCATTCATTGTCAATAAGGGATTGCCTTCAATGAAACTCCCAATGGCTATGAGAGACAATTGAGATGCCAGAAATGCATGGTGAAAATTGGTTATTGTTTATTGCTTAACAAATGAATCAGGAGTGTGTAGAAGCAATGACTAGGCCTTCTACAAACCAAACCAGAATAATGCATGTTTGATTTTAAAATTAAAATTGAGCAATTGACCACATCCTGCAATATATATTAAAACATGAACTTGAATAGCAAAAAGATTTTGAATTAGTTTGCATATTTACAGGGCCTATATCAGTTTCCCATCCCTCACTGTTAGGATGGAAGAAGAGTGCTTACCTCCAACTCATTCAGCCGTTGGATTCGAGGTTTGAATTTGAAATTATCCACATCAACAGCAAAGGGTGGGGTCCAGCTCTAGAAGAATAAAGAACCAAAGAATGGTGATTTCCAAAACATTTACCAAACTACTATTTCAAGAATCAGTGTCATGGCAAGAAAGCTCACAGGAGGAGGAACAATTTTGCAGAGCCCATATTCCTCTGCAATAGGACGGATCTTCCTGATAAATGCAAGAGGATCCTGGAAATCATCCTCTGAAGGATGGTATACAGGGCATTCAGGAGGAGATCTGAACTCCTTTGGGGGAATGTAAAATTTTTCTTTTTTGACAGAACTGCCAATAGCATCCATGGCTGTGTTTGATTGATCTTTGCAGAATTTTCCTGGGACAAGGTCTGTCTACTCCCAGACCACTGGCTACATCACACTAGAATGTTCCAGAAGTTCTCTCCTTCATTCAATCTCAAACCTGCAAAACACACAAACAGCAACTAATCCTAATGAACTCAAACCCACCTGAACATAGGTAAACTACAGCCAATTTGCTCAATTTACATCACAGCAGAATGATTTTTTCCCCCAAGAGGTTGGGATAAACAATTTGACCTAATTTAGAGCACATCTTAGTTCTGCATTGTCTCATATGCATAAAATCTACCATGACTTAATAGCTGTACAACTGCATGAACACAAATAATTTTCTTGTTGAGAAAATAGCCACTGGTCTTAATAGAAATAATTTTTTAATTAAATAATAAATCAATGGCATCTACTCATTAACATGTAATTACTCTAGTGCAAATTGCTGGTAACATTCATGGGATTTATAAATGAAATTTAAAATAAAAAATTTTTGGACACCACTGGCAGGCTTCCAGCCAATTTTGAATACTTATGAAATAAATTTAAAACCTATTAATGGGCCAAGGAATTCTAATTTAAAAATCCTTTATAATGGTAAAAATGGGCAAACTGCTGTCTTTGTTAAGTTTCAGCTGTTAAATGCCTAGGCCTAGGTCTAACTCAGTCTTCCCAATGTATAAATGGTCATATAATATGCGTAATAACAATATCAACATATAGTATGGTTATCCCCGTACGCCCGGGTCCGCCAGCATTTACCAATGCTGCCAAGGCCATGGGAAATGTAACCTAGGCCTATATAAAGAACCCAAGAACAGGGAAAACATCGCAATTCGCATTTCTTAATATATTTATACAATTAAATATCGTCCATTCCACCTAGATCGCGATGCTACGGGCATTCCTCGAATCACCACGCAATCAGTCGACGAAATCCTCGAAAAGGTAGACTAAGGCAACCGTAGCATATGAAATGCATGACCTTGCAAGATATTTACATTAACGAAAGAAAAGGAATGATGAAAGCAGTCATGAGAGTATCACGCCTGGTTACACTTGGCAACAGTAGAATAAAAATTGGCGTCGGGGCCGGAAGTTAACTCGAAGCGACATCCAATAACTAAAACTCCCTCGATGACGCATTGCACTAACTAAAGTCTCACTGGAGAACAGAAAAACGGCAGATCTGAGCATTTTCGCACAAGGAATGACCCCGAACGAGGAAGAGACCAATCGCATAATTCGGGTAGAGTCACCTGACGCCATCTTGTTTCTTTCTCTCTCCCCTCGTTTTCGTAAGCCAAACAAAAAATGGATCCCCGATTCCAGACCTTTAAACCTGTTATCGCGCATCTGAGGCAACGAACGTATCGACGAATGCAAGGGAAAGTCTCTCAGAACTGCAGTTTGCAAACAGAACAGCCGATCGCAAAGGATTTCGAAAAGACGAGGGCGATAAACATACGGGCGTGGGCGTCAGCGTCGCGTGATTCTCGCATATTTGGGCCTAACTTCGTTACATGCTACATGTAGTTCCCTTAAAATTACCTATTCTTCCCTGTGGATGACACTTAATGCACAATTTAGGCATATCAGAACCTCATTAGGCCGAGGAGAAAGCAGGGAATCGACACAGGAATGTGCTGAAATTTCCATCTGTCCACGAACTACATAGGCCACGGAGCTGTAAAGTTCGAGGTGGCCATGCATTCAGTATGAAACTCACGCGTCTTTTGTAGAGTTTCCCTTTCGTATGGAAAGTGGCATGGGATGCCAGGTGGCGAATGTTGTCGAGACGAGACGTGGGCGTATCGATCACGAAAGCAACGGAAGAAGAGGAATAGACGAGGCAGGAACACAGCCGTTTCCCCCCTTTCCAGGCAGAGGGCTCACCGATCGCCCCTCACACCGCTCCGTTTAAATCCCCCTTGCGCCGACCCCTCCCTTTAAATCCTGCTCTCTTCCCGTGCCTGCCTGCGACTGGGTTTCCAGGAAAGCTTCGTTCCTTGCGTTTCTTTCGCTACGTTGCCTCGTGCTGTCGTCGTAGTCGTCTCTGAGGGAGCATGCTCCTCTGTACCAACGGGAAAGGGTGCAGTCCTATTTTTCGAAATTGCTTGGATGCCCTACCCCTTGGGGAGAGATTTGTGAGACAATTATGTCAATAATACCATAATCGTGTGCAATAATATGAGTTATCGAAATCAAATAAAGATGCGGTATTTGGTAAGTTTCGAGAGGGAATAGTCCCCGGACGCCAGGACCTCCCTTACACCCTTGCCTACACGAGTGACCCAATCGAATAAAACCATCTTGATGACTTTTCCTCAATATGATTGACTATAGCACGGAAGATAGCACGAGGTGAGGTCACCGGGAACTTTTTTTCGTGAGCCTTCTGAGTAGAAACCTCTATGGTAGAAAAACCGGGAAAGTCCCCTCCATGCAGCGCAGAATGGGCCTGTAAGAAACTCGTAGGCGGAGTCTCATTGCATGTACGGATAAGCACGTGTGCGTGTGTAGTCCCTATAATACATATGCTAATGAGGCTAGTTGACTGCCATCAAGAAGATTCAAGAAGAGTCCCCCTTTCTCCCAAGTGACAGATACAATTCACTTAAGGTTACCCCGTTATTAACAATATCTCAGTGAGAGGAAGAGGCTGGAATTTGCATGCCTTTGAACTTGGTCACAAAGGGCCTTACAGATGCGGTGAACTGTAGTATGCCTTTTTCTTTTCCAAAACCTGTCGCACAGTCTACCCAGCCGACTCGCCGGATTCATTCCCATCGATCGACGCCCACGAAGACAAAGAAACCAGATTCGTTTTCCCCTTCGCGATGACAACTCAACAAAGTGAAAACAAATCTCTCCAGTCACGCTCGTACGCATCATGCACAGTTCTCGACCACGCTTGCCCTCGAGAACCGTTCGATTATGGTGGCAGGTATTCCAAGTAGGCCGAATTGTTTCCACGAACCACGAGAACATCGTCACTGATTGTCCTCCGTCGCACTTTGACTGGTTTCTACGTTGCAGCCGTGAGTGAGAATGGAGGCGGATCTGGTATGGGAGGAACGAGATGCTCGTAATTGAAAACGTCGATGCGGCATGCCTCAGTCTTCAGATGCGATGCTGAGTCGGATGCTTTGCACCCAAAAGCTTACGTATCTGGGGATACCTATGCAAGAGTTTGGAACGAAGCGTGAAACTCGCTGAAGCAGAAACCGGATGAAAAGTGAGAGTATTCTCGATCTCCGGGCAGAGATGTATAAGGAAAGGGGACCATGGTACCAGAAAGGGGATGCCGAGACCAGTTCGGTTGAGGGGGAAGGAGGGGTGTTAAGCGAAAGTGCTAAGGGACAGGGAAAAATCCCTGAGGCGGCCGCTTCCATGTTCCCCGTGAAATTCATCTCTGAGTGCAAGACGTAACGTGTTTCATCCTCGAAAAATGTGAGAATCGGCGTTCGTCGATGAGACGACACTCCACCTTATGATGAGTCGCAACTTCATGTGCAATTTGCACGGTAATCCGTGCGTGAAAGCGACGGGAAGAAATCTCACTACGTTGCTGGCATGCTACATGTCTCATCCATCGCTTTTCCTCGGAAGAAGCCCGAGGCAGGACCAGTCCCGGACTTTCTATCGGCACGAGACGTCTGATATCCCCTAACTGCTGAATGATTTGATTTTTCTTGCAGATAATGCCTTTGCCAATGCGTACCACACCTCGAGCTTCGTCCTATCTCTTCAAATGTATGGCACAATGCCTTGAAACAATAGCCGCCGACGTCGTTTAAATTCCAAACCGCTTTTAGAACGTCGATGAAGCTTTGTTATAGGAGAAAATCGAGAAATTATGTTTTTTAAAATAAAAATGTGCATGCGGTTCTCATGAAATGAAGCATATTCGTAATCTCTTTAACAGTGGGCGACACTAGATTTGGCGTATCTTCTCGGTAGAGGTCAACCACGAGTTTTGATGACAAATACATTTCAGTGAGACTTCGTCCTTCTCCATAGTGGGAATTAAGCCTATAACACCAGAGCATCTTATTGAGCTGAGAACTGACCGGGACTCGTGAGGCTCTCGCGGCAAAGAGGACAAGGATGACGGATCGCTTCTCCCTCTCGGGCATGTTGGTCATTGGGGCATCTTCGACGATGAATCCCGTAAACTTGATGACCATCTGCCGCCTAATCTCACTTGGGGAGTATGGTGGACTCGGTTCATCTCAAACAAATCTCACTGTGATACAACGATGACCACGGTCGTCCATCCCAGGAAAAATATTTTGAGAAGCCCTCGTGCTCGGGGAGATCGGGACCGGTTCAAAGGAAACTGAAGATGCGCAAGCGCAGCGTGGGAGTTGAAGGACTCGAGGGAGGGAGAGTCGAAGATGCGTGAGATAGTCCACAGGGACACCACGTCGTGTCCTTGTGTCGTGTGGTCGTTCAACTTTCCTTGTTCTGCTAGCAGCATTTATCGTTGTGACGTCGTTTTGGCAGATATTGATAGCAATAAAAACTGCCTCTGATAGAAGTCATGATAGATAGAAGCCTACCATAGACGATCCACTAGCGCTAAATATCACGAGCCGTCACTGGTTTTAACTCAAGATGGCAGCAATCGCAGCAGATGAGTGAATATGAGTGCCCCTGTACTCGATGGTAAATGCCTCCAGATTTTCCATTTAGTAACGATTCCCAGATAAAGCATATGAGCGAGACGAAATTTGGAGGTTAGAATGAACTCAGACTTGAGACTCCTTATCATGAATCGATTTTCTCCTATGGATGAAGGATTAAGTCACCGTGTATTGCATACGCTAGTGTCTGACCCCAACTCCTTTCTCTTTTTTGACACCAACTGTCGGTGGGCTAATAAAGGGAGCGTGGAAATTAGCCTTAGTGGTAACTTGTTATCAGTGAAGCATCGCAGTCACGAACACTGATGCCAATACTTCCCATTGATCGAACAATCGGGACATCACTCTCGGGATGACGAGTGGTGTAGTTTTACCCCAATTATGTTCTTGTCAGTGGATATTGATTAGTAAAGCTATTTGTGTTGGTTACAACCAGTAAGACTGCAAAGAATGGGCACGAATGGGAAATGGGCAGTGGCGTCTCGTGGGTTGAAGACTTGGGGGGACTGCAAGGGCTGGGGCCGCTGGGCGCATGATACCAAGGGCAGGAATGGCACAATTTTACCTCCCGTAAAACATGCATGCATATAATAAAATGAATATTTTATGACTTAGCGTGAAAATTAAGATTAATAAATGCAACGATCGCAGATATGGGGTTGACGCGAAGCACCAATTTTCTTTTTGCACGGGTATAGTTCACCTCGTAGATGCAACGCAAGGAAAACTGACTAAATGTCCATCACGCGCCTGTGCGACGGCTGGCGCCGGCGCGCGGAAGGATTTGCGGCTGCGTTCGGCTGCAGCCCAAGCTTCGGTCTGTGCGGCCGGGCCCCCGAACATATATGAACATGGCCAAATGGTTTTCGTACAGGCTACACGGAGGGCTGCATGGGCATGCAGCCTGCGCACTCCATAGCGCACTGATGCGGGTCTGCGGGAGACACGGGGAGGGGGCACATGGATCATATACGTATTTAATGCAGACTGCGGGACGCGCAACCCGCAGTGCTCCAAACTATATTTAAAAGATTTAAATTCTTATTTAAATCTTTTAAATTATATTGTAAAGTAATTCTGTGCCTCCGAAATGATTGGGGGGCTGCAGTCCTGCAGATCCATATCACGAGCCGCCCTGGAAATGGGTTAAGTTTTTTTTTATCCATATCGAACTAGCACTTCACCTGGTACCACCTGAAGCCTATTCCACAGAAGATTTACAAGTTACAAGTTACAACACATCAAACAAGGCTACGTTGGACCAATGTTGTATCAACGTCCCAAACGTTGAATCAATATTGTATGAACGTTGTGTGTTTTGCTGGGAAGTTACAAGTAGTTGCAAAGGTCATGCCTTGATTGCGTCGTGTCAGCGGAACCCACTAGAAGAGTTGAAGAAGACACGACCCTTGCAACTACTTGTAACTTGTAGCTTGTAACTTGTAAATCTTCTGTGGAATAGGCCCCTGGTGGTATCTGTAACTCGGGTCGTGAAGTCCTCAGACACCAAGGTCTTTCGTAAAAAAAAATGAAACAAAGCGAAAGTCAAAACAAAGCGAATCAAATTTATTGTGTATGTCCATGCACGCCACGAACGAATCAATCGCAGAGGGAGTTTTCATAGCAGGAAGACTGGCAGCAGGAACAAGGGCTCCCAATGGCGTACATGCTCCTTCCCATGATGTTCCCAGCAGGGCCGTAGTTGCACACGTAGAGTTTCGTCCCTTCTCCGTACGCCACGAAGCCACATCCCACGGCGTACGTGTCTGCCCACAGAACCTGGGTGTAGTGACCCGTCCCACTGTCAAACCTGCAACGTCAAAACAATCTCGGTTAGTTCCATCACCCGAATAGAGCTCTTGTTCGCACTCGCATCCAAGAAACCTGGCTGCAGTCACGCATCGCTCATCACTCGAGATTGCGAACCTTCAACATGCAGCGTAGAAATCAAAAAAGGATTTATTTAAGCACCTTGAAGGCGGAAGGCCAAATTGGACCAAAAGAATCCCAATCAATTGAGGACCTCCTTGACCTCTCCAAGGTGGATCGTACCTCGTCTGGTTCTTGATTCCCTCAAGTTCTACCTCAGGTTCTCGAGTGGTGAGAGTCAAACGTTGATCAAGGGAAGCGAATTGAGGAGGGCGAAGCATGACTAGTATTTAAAATGTCGTGTTTCGTGGTAAAGGCAAGGTAATAAAAGCGGCCACGTGCTAGGGTCTTTGTCTTCTCCAACGGAACTAATTTCTGTGCAGAACAGTCATTATGGATATTGGTGCATGTTGGTTGGTTCAAGTTTTTGACAGAGGGACTGCAAAGATCATTTGGAGATTCCTTACTCTCCTGTATCCCATTCTGCACTGATTTGAGTCAGGGAAAGCAAATAGCAACTCTCTGATGAATCATGCCGAGCTAATACATGCTTACCTAGCGAAAATAGCAACCACAATGCATCAGCAGAACACTGAATATCGTAGCAATTCCATGATTACAAGCGATGACTTCATTCCACAATTCTCGATCCATTATCAGAATTTATTTTAAAAGCAAAACGAAAACCATTTTCATTCGACCCCATATTTCGAATCATTACTTTCGAAACGAAAGTTGCGGAAGAATTTAATGGAAAAACGTACGTGTAAGGCGAGACGAAACTGGAGCTGAAGGTTTCGACCTCGTCGTACCAGCCTTGAATGGCCGCGGTCCAGTCCGCCGTCCCATTTCCGAACCCCGAACTCGTATACAGGTTCTGACCCGCTGACCCAAACGACGCTAAACCAGACAACAAATAAAAATCTCAGGGTCAGAAGAGAGAGAGAGAGAGAGAGCAATGGAGACGATCCGAGAGAGGAAAACAGACTGCCAAAAGTGCGGCAGGAGTTGTCGTCGTGGTCGAAGTTGCAGGTGTTGGCCAGACCCTGCGCCGTCGCCGCCAGCCCGTCGTCCCATACCTGCCATCAAACGATTCCCGTATGAAGTGAGGCTTTCGGGTGAAAGTTTCACAATAACGATTTTCGGAATTTTCTTAGAGGGTACTTCGGCACCAGACGTAAAGTGGAAATAACTGTAAGCATTGCAAAATGCAAATATTTGCAACCTTTTAGCAGACTGAATCTGCCTTAGTAGCACATAACACTGAAATAACATTGATTCAACATCCGGACGTTGAATCAACGCTAAATCAATGTTCATTGAATGTTATGTGCTACTAGGGTGGTATGCTGAGGGATAGGCAAAATATAAGCTGGGATCCTTCATGAAGCAAAGAAGAAACTGAATTCGAAAATAGTCAACTCGATTGCAAGAGGAGAACGGATGCATACGGATGCATACCATTCGTCGCATGTTGGAGGCGGAGGGCTGAGGTCCAGGGTAGCCTCGAGTCTCCATGCCAGAGGCAACTCGTGCTCTAAAGCCGTTGTGAGTGTCCACGATCAGGTTCTTCTCCGATTCGGATACACCGGAGCCTTCCACGGAACCACAATTACCGCCAGGCGACGAAGAATAACAATTCGTTGTACTGGGGGATCCTCCGATGGAAGACGGATTCGGGCAATCCGTACCTGGACTAGGACCGGGGCTGGGGCTGGGGCTGGTGCTGGGGCTGGGGCTGGGGCTGGGGCTGGGGCTGGGGCTGGGGCTGGGGGTGGGGCTGGGGCGGGGGCGGGGGCTGGGGCTGGGGCGGGGGTGGGGGGGGGGGCGGGGATTAGGGATAGGGATGGGTCTTGGGCCTGGGCTGGGGCTGGGATTAGGAATAGGGATGGGTCTTGAGCCTGGGCTGGGTCGAGGTCGGCCGCCGGATCCGCCGGGACGAGGACGGTTGGAGCCAGTATCGGGGAAGGAACCAGGTCCGGTCTCAACGGGAAAGGGGAAGGAGGAGGAACCAGGCCCAGTCTCAACGGGAAAGGGGAAGGAGGAGGAACCAGGTCTGTTTCCCCCCGGGAAGGAGGAGGAACCAGGTCCAGTCTCAACGGGAAAGGGGAAGGAGGAGGAACCAGGCCCAGTCTCAACGGGAAAGGGGAAGGAGGAGGAACCAGGCCTGTTTCCCCCGGGGAAGGAGGAGGAGCTAGGTCTGTTTCCCCCAGGAAAGGAGGAGGAACCAGGACTGATCTCCCCGGGGAATGAATCAGAATCCGGGACAAGGATGTGATCCTGGTGACCTGGGAACTGTCGGAAGGGTTCTTCCACGGAATTCACGTTGAGTACGACGAACCCTCCCTTATTGGATTCCCTCTCCGATATGCACCCATCTTGACTGCTCACTGTCAAAAAAAAATTCAAGGGAAACATGAACCGTCCACAGTTCAGATTGCTTCCATCTCGATTACCGTCCAACGGCTTAAATCAATCGTTGATTCTTTGACCCTCACGAACTGAGGGAACGAAACGTACTTATGCAGACGTGAAGTTGCCACGGAGACCCGGTGACGTTGCAGAGGGCGGCGCCGCATCCGATCCCAGTCGCATTCGCGGCTCCTAACAATCCATCCCTCCTACAACACAGCGTATATCGACAACTATAATTTTTCGATCTCTATTACCATTAAATAAGAAGCCAAAGGTGAAGCAGACCGGATGGAACGAGCATCGGGAGCGATGATCCAGGAGAGAAGAACGGCGTGCCAATCCGGAAGGAACTCAGAGTCTTGGTCCCGACGAAAAGCGGCTCGAAGCTCCGGAAAACCTTATCGTGGGAAAAAAAAAAAAACAAAACATGCACACATAAATTGCCTGAATTAAAATCGAAAGCTCACTCGAATAAAGCCACCCACTTCGTTGCATCAAAGCAAAATCAAATCGTAAAGGAAAACCGAAATGTACGTAGACTTACCGCTGCGATTCGGACTTCGAACGGAGCATCTCTCGGCCGTTTCCTGCGCGTCCAGCGCAGAACTCGCCTCCCACTCCTAAAGAACCCTCATCTTAGAACCGACAGTTTTTCAATGGACGACACGAGGGATGAAAACATACGATCGGCTGATCGTGACCGAGAATGAGCCGGAAAGTGTTGAGGAAGCCAAGGATGACGCGCCGCTCCCGCGTGCAAACGGGCAGCTTGAGGAGGGCGGACGAGGGACTTCCAAGGTCCATGCAGCCCAGAGCGATCCAAACCAGCAGCCACAACTTCACCTGGAGGGAGGAGCCAAATTTGTTTTTGTTGGTTGTGAATTTTGTGGAGTTTTGGTGGGGCTGTAGTTCCGTGTAGAATCGCCTTTTCAGGACCCGTGAAACGGTCGTCAGAGGAATCGACTATCTGTGGTCGTTGATCGTATATTGAACGTGAGACTTCTAGCACGTTCCTACGATAAAACGTTATTTTCGAGTACGTTCTTTGCAAGAAAGCTGCCAAGACTTCACCATAACTTTCGATGGATCGAAATGACTCGTTAAAATTACCAGTCCCTTAGGATTAATTTGATTTATATGACAATTACACACGCCTGATCGAAGACCGTCTTCAGCTACAGCGGCAACCTTCAGGGCTAGATTCAGGACTAGACCTTCAAGACTACGACCTTGAAGGCTACGCCAGGGCGTCAGATCACTGAGTACAATGAAAGCATAGAGTAGAGTATAACTAGAGGCGACACTCGGAGGGGTAGGGGAGGGTCGAAATATCACAGAGACATCTGGTGGCTTGTCATCAACACATCCATGAGGCGTGCTTTGTGGCAGCGGAATCGGAAATCGACTCGTTCGTGGATTCGACCATGAGGGATCCCTCAACGTAACACGCGTGTCTCGTTGAGTCGGCTGCTCGGCAGTGGAGGAGTTCTTGATGTGCGCACGCTATCGACAGCGACATCTATATTCCGACCCTGTCAATGAGTGGGATTCGAGACGAGTGGAAGCCTTTAGTTAGTACTCTCTACTCTGATGAAACTCTACTCTCTACTCTACTCTATGACGGTACGTTTACTTAGGGTAAACGTACCGCCCCCCCCCCCCCCCCCCCCCCCCTCCCCC